TACCACCAATTCTTACGGAGATAGGCCCGTAACATAACATTTTTATTTTATCCGAGAATTAGCTCCCATAATATAGTTAATTTTAATTTTTAATTTAAATTTAATTTTAATTTAACAGTAATTAATTGTATTATGAATTTTAATTCATTAGTATATATTACCTTTACTAGTTAATCCAATTATTTTAAAAGAAAATTGTAGGCATTTCTCGAACAATTGAATAAAACAATAATTAACTGACATAATTAATACTTCTATGTGATTTTCAATAACTCTTGAAGATGAGTATTTTTTTTTATTCTCAATAATTTTTCTCGATTTAATATTTCAACACTATTTATTAGATTTATGCACATCATTTTTTACAATGAAAATTCATTTTAATTGTTATTTTCTAATACGTATTTTTTACTGGACTGAAAATCAGAAAATCAAACATATTATATTTTCAAACGTCTAAAATAAATCATTATCAGAAACATTTTTATTTCTATCTGACCATACATGCCCATTACTATATTAGCATAGGTTTTGATAAAATTTATTAATAAAAATAAAATGTATTTGTCATTTATTATAAAGGTTTTGGATAAAACTTCTAATCAATAATAAATTATTGATATTTAATTTCCCAATTAAATTTTATTAATTTATGAAAATATATGCTTTTCTGAACGAACTGATAAATCATTTTTTTAAAATACTGATTCTGATACTGATTCTGAACGATTTGAAAATGATACATTGAAGAATTGAAGATATGATAAATTTCAATAACTATTGTAATACAAAGATAATATGAACATTGATTAACTACAGTATAATAATAATGCATCAATACTATCTTATTTATGTAAATGGGCTTGTGCAAGACTCGAAAGCTTCTCATTCAATTAGATTCCATAAATTTAATTAATTTATGCTAAATTAATCGTAAATCTTTCGTTAAACAGACTCTTCATTGTAATAAATTATTAGAGATTATTTAGCTGAAGTTGTCGATGAAAATTATTAATTATGTTTATAATGAAACTATCGATGGAGTAATAAACATCAAAAGGATACGTTAGGAATAAATTCATTTTGGCTACTAGTTTATTGTAAAATTTGATTTTTAAAAAATTTGGAAATTGACAGATTTTTGACTGCACAATTTGTATATTGGCCTTAACTATTTGTTGAAATGCAATTTCTTTGTATAACAGCAAATAATTAAAATCAATCAGATGTTAATGATTTTAAAATCAAATCTGTATTTACATTATTATTTTGATAGTTCGTCAACTTATTTAATTTTTTCCACACCCCGATCTTTGCCGCCAATGAGTACTTATTATGATTTCCGAGCGTCACTAATACAGTTGCGCATGTATTATTAATACAAAAAAGATTTTTGTGATCCTTTGTTTTGGTAATAATTCAAGTTCCAACGGTCATTCTTGGTGTGAAGGGCTAGCTTAGGTATTAAACATTATTTGTCCCATTACCCTTGGGAGATTTTCGGCCGATCATAAGGTGAGAGACCTTGGCAAAAGGGTCCGACAGAAGTTCGTTAGTAATAATATTAATACAATACTTCTTACTAAAATAAGGGATGTCACGATCGGTCAACGGTTATTATTAGTTGTAATGATGAACTTGGAAAATGTTCGTTACAGGACATGGGAATTTTAATTTTCCAGAGGTTCTTTTATTTTTTGTGCTGATTAAATAGGAGGTTAAACTGTCTAGCATCTGCTTTATCTCTAAATTGTACAACAGTTTGTTTTATTTAAGGCGCAATTGAGTATCAGACATTATATTAGTTTTAACGGATTCGTGACCCATGACTTGGCAAAATCGATTCTAATGATTATTAATATTCTTTACTTGAGATAATAATTTTTGTTTAGAAATGTATTTTTGCTTAATATATTGAACATTGGGCTCACCCATGGGTAAGTGGTCCAAGTTCGATCCCGCTTCAAGGAGCTTGATGTCAAGCAGTAGTAAAAAATATTTGCCTTTTTATACAAAATGTATTAATTAAATTTATCAAACAGAGTTGAGTCGTAGTATTTGGTCAATTTAACCACAAAGCTTAAGTTCTGATTGCTGTTCAAAATTATGGAAAATATATTGTATATAATTTTATCTGTCAAAGATTTTTTTTATATATTTATTAATAGCAATCAAAAATTATAAATTTCTATAAGCTATTGTGCTAAGATTTGTCAAAGGTAACAATGTATATTTTCTTGATTGTCGGTTTTCTATTGATCTTTCGGTCAATTTGGTCTATAACTTAAAAACTAATTTAACAAAAGCAGATTTTGCATAAAAATGCAAGTTGTAATCGATACCACCTGCCATCACACCAAATGTCGAGATAAATGAAAAAAAAATTTTTTTTAACATAAGATGAATTTCACAACTGGAGCACACCATATGCAAAAATTATAATAAACCTTACTGAAAATAAATTTATTATTTGATGAACAGTTTCAAGGATTCATACTTGTTTTACATTGGATCTTAAATATTAAAGTTTGCTTTTTGTCATAATTTAAATTTTCATTTTTTTAAATAATAGTTAGTAGTTCAACTGAAATTAAAAAATATAGAATTATTTTTCTAATTATTTTTTAAACAGCATCAGAATTTAAGTGACCCATAAGCCGTTTCGTTAATTTGACTCAACTAATCGGTATGTTTTTTTTATAGATGGCAACCAAAACAGTTGTCCTATCTTCATGTGATAAATTTATTAATATAATTTCTGCAATAGTGATGATTTTTTTTATTGATAAAGCAATATCGGGAAAGGGCTATTTTCACTTGTTATCTATATTTCCAAGTAAAAACCAATGTCACTACTGCTTGGCATCAGGCTGCCCGCGCCAAGTATCGAACCTAAAACTTCTGATTGAATCCCATAGCTCTTACTTATGTTATGAGTAATGAACTTATTAATTTGTCAAGTATAGTAAAAAAAATCAAGGGTATGTTAATGAAAATATTCCACTAATTGTAAGAATTATTATTACACAATCAAGTTTCAAAAACCTCCTGCCCTTAATAAGAAACGAATATATTTTAGTGTGTATTATTATGTTGCTCATAATTTGTAACATTTATTGAAATTGTAGCAAGAGCATTTGCCAGTCGCGTGTCGCATTTGCGCTTTGTTAATTTAACATAATTCACTGCTAAGTTTTTTATATCGTTTTTTGTTCCGTTTTGTTTTCACGATATACAGCTTTTTTTTGTTCTTTTGGGGAAAATAATAATAATTTCTACACGCCCGAATATTATCTTTTGTTATAGAATTTCGCTCACAAAGCGCCCGAAACACGTATTCATGGGCTCCGCATTCGGCTTTTTTCTTCATTGTATTGTAATTTTATAATACAATAATCGTAATTACTATATATATTTAGGAATCATATGCTGGCAACACATGCCATAGTGCCCAAACGGACAACCCGTTATAAACACATATTTGAGACTAGTCTTGTATGACTGTTATTACCGGTTGTTCTCAAATATGATACAAAATAATTATAATGAACATGGTTTTGCAAAAAACTTATATATTTTTTGTTCCAAGTATTCTATGATTTAATTGTGAAATCTATTTTAGGTATGAAATAAAATTCATTAGAGTAGAATATAAAATTCATTATTTAATAAGTAATTATTTTTTATGTTTCATTTCTCCATGTACATAAAAATTTCATGATTTTTGGTAACAATATTTACTCGTTGTCAGTTCAAATATTATATCTTGACACAATCTCAATGCGTTAGTAACGACCGGTTATTTTTGGGTTTTGATTTTTTTACATTTTTTATAATTTGAAACTAACAAATATTATACCATTTTACAATCCTGATTAAATGCGCCAATTTTTAATGTAACTAGTCGAGGCACTTTAAGGAATTTTTTTAAAAGGAGTGGTTTCAAAGTCAGCAATTTATGAAAATTTTATATTCATTGTTTACCAAATAGTTTTAATTCTACAAAATTTGGGACAATCTTGTCTTTATTTTTTGCTGTGGTTTTAGAAATATTATTTAGGGTTGCGGCCCCAACCACAATAACCAAAAATTGGTTAGTTTTTCAAACTGAATGGGATAAATTAATTTCTAATATATATATATATATATATATATATATATATTATGTTATATAATTTAGGTCTATTTCTATTAATCTTGTGAAACTATTTCTATTTGATACTTGATTACTATACAATTTGTTATCGACCATTATGTTTATAATAAAATATAATGATTACTTTTTTATAGTAATATGATCTAATTCACATGAATTGTTCTTTCAAACAAAACACATTTCCTGGCCATTCCGTGTAAAAGTCGAAAGAGAAAAAATTGAACGCGAACATAATGCGTCACGCTTCAACTACGACGCGATACAGATTTCTAATTATTTATTAATATCTAAATAATATGCATCGACTTTTTATTTGCTGAAAACTTATTAAGTTTTTGTAATAGATCAGTGTATATTCGCATTTCATAATATTGTTTCATTTCTGACTTTATTTTTAACTGCAATGCTGATTGGTTTGCGACAAAAACTAATATTCCGAAGCTTGTGTAATTGTGGCGAATTCTCTAATCTTTGTTTAAATTAGCATTCAATTTTAATCTTACAAATGAAAGGAATATGGAATAGATTTAGTTAAAAATAATATGTGCTCCCATTGTAATAAATTTATTATTGCTTATCAACCGAGAAACAAAGTTTTCTATTCAAAGCGTGAAATGAGATTTGATTAATTTGCATTATTTTTCAATCACGTTGTGAGATTTGTTTATTTCTTATTATGCCAAAAAACTATTCAATGCTTTCTCCTGTGAATAACTTTTGTTACAGTTACTTGTAAATAAATAATATATTTTCCTAAATTAATTTACATTTATTATTATAACTAATTTGTTAAGTTGTTTTTTTAATGTAAGTTTGTTAATATTTTTTGTTTTATTTATTGCAGATATAAAACCGGATTTCAGTAAAGAATCTCCCGAGCATCCCACATTTGGCTCGGACCAGTCACAAAATCAACCACCGAACCAACAGACACCTACAACACCAAATAATCCGCTTGCAGAGCAACAGAGCAGTCCTATTACATCTACTACAACAAATCAACAGAATTTAACTTGTCCGTTCTGCAGTTTTACATGCGATTCGGATTCAAGACTACAGCAGCATATGCAGACTACTCATCAACCAGAAGCACCTCCGAAAAGCCCAGATGCACCTCCACTTCTATGCCCTCTCTGCCAGGACGGTTTCAAGGAAAGATCTACCCTTGAGAAACATGTTATGCAAATTCACTCCGTAAATGCAGAAGGTTTGCAAAGGTTATTAATGCTAGTAGATCAAAGTCATTGGTTGAATAGGTCGAATTCGACACCGGAATCGAATGAAACATCGGCAAATAGTAGTCAAGAAGAAGAGAAATGCCCGCAATGCAGTACAGTTTTTCGCACTAATGACGAATTGTGTTTGCATAGATTAGAAACGGGTCATTTGTCTGGAAACGCTTGTCCGAAAAGTGGATGTGGGCAAAGTTTTTCCCATGCTACTGCGTTAATGAGCCATTTCCGCGATGCTCATGCTATAAATCAGACGCCGACCGGCGCCTTGGTATCTGAAAGACATGTTTACAAATATCGTTGTAATCAATGCAGTTTGGCATTCAAAACGCTGGATAAACTAACAGCGCATTCACATTATCATGCTATGCGCGATGCGACGAGGTGCTCAAAATGCGGAAGGGGTTTCAGGTCAGCCGGTGCTTTGCAACGACATCTGGAAACTTCGCACTGCGACGAAGAAAATGCTCAACAAAATCAAGTTGAGGATTTAACTGGCGAAAACGAATCTATCGAACCTGATATGGACGACCCTCAAAGGTTACTAGAAGACTACCTTAATAGCCCAGCACTAGCAGAGGAAGGCTATAATGATCCAAACCGAAAGCATAAATGTCATAGATGTAGAGCAGCATTTACATCACAAGCTCATTTGAGTGCTCACAATAAAAGCTTGCAACATCGAAGGGGCGAAAAATTGGCATATCCTTTAGAAAAATTTTTAGATCCAAATCGTCCTTTCAAGTGCGATGTCTGCAAAGAATCATTTACTCAGAAAAATATATTGTTAGTACATTACAATAGCGTAAGTCATCTGCATAAACTGAAACGAGCAGCGCTGCAAGACAATAATAATTTGCCGAATGTGAATAACACTCAACAATCTCCGCAAAATCAACCTGAGTCAATACCAAGCCCTACTGGAAATACAATTTCTTCAGATGATGAGAAAAAACCATTCCGCTGCGATATATGCAGAGTAGCTTACGCACAAGGTAGCACTTTAGACATACATATGCGTTCGGTTTTACATCAGACAAGAGCTTGTCGCTTACAAAATCCTGAAAATATGCAGAACTTGCCAAACACATCTCCAACTCCTCCAACAGTGAGCAGCCCTGATACTTTGACGCCTTCATCACCTAACGCTCTGTCAACTATGCTGCAAGATGGTAAGAAAGCAACAAATCCTTCCCAACAAATGTATAAAACATTATTAGAAAGTTTTGGTTTTGATTTAGTCATGCAATATAATGAAGCAAAGAATGCATCACCCCCGAGGCAAGAAACGCCGAAGGAAATTCCGAATGAAGTTGGTCCGTATACTTGTCAACATTGCCACAAATCATTTTCATCTATATTTGTATTGAAAACGCATTGCGAAGAGGTACATCGTGATAAAGTTCCTCTGGAGTTTTTGGAACAGTTTGCGGAACATTTTAAAACTGAATACGAAAAGAAATCTGGTATGGATGAAACAAATACTGAGCAGGCACAAGATTCACAAACACAAGATTCATCATCAACAACCGATACACCGGGTATTCCGCCACAAATTTCATCTCAAAATCCCCAGTTGAATCAGTTAACACAACAACAGCAGCAAAACTTACAGCAAATGCAACTGATGAATGAAATGCAGGCAGCACTAAATGTAATGCAATTCCATCCAATGATGGCACAAATGATGTCGATGGGTTTGCCATTAGGCCTGAATATGAATGCGTTGGCAGCTATGAATTTACAACCACCACTAGTACCACTAATGATGCCGCCACCTCCGTATGGGTCGGACGCCATGGGTCAACAAATACCACACAGTCCTCAGGCGGGAGCGGATAATTCAATGCTGGCCAAACAACATGCCGCTGTTATGATGCAACAACAACAGGTTAGTTACACAAAACTATTTTCAAATTAACTGTAGATTTTTACAAAAATTAGATTTTAATTTGACTTTAATTTATAGGCAAATGCTGCAGCTAACCAAAAAAGAGCGCGGACGCGCATTACCGATGAACAATTGAAGATTCTGCGAGCTCATTTCGATATAAATAATTCACCTTCCGAAGAAGCTATTTTGGAAATGGCAACTAGGAGTTCATTACCACCGAAAGTAATCAAGCATTGGTTTAGGAATACTTTATTCAAAGAGCGCCAACGAAACAAAGATTCACCTTATAATTTCAACAATCCGCCTTCAACCACTTTAAATCTAGAAGAATATGAAAAAACGGGCGAAGCAAAAGTCACACAACTTAACTCAAGCTCAAGTAGCCAGGAAGACGCCTCAAGCGGTGCGCCTCCAGCAGCTAAAAGAATGAAAACAAGTACACCGACGAACGAAAATTCAGAACAGAGTATAAAGAATGAACCTATGGATCATCATGAAAATGCTGCTGAAGATTATTCAAAGTATCATTATGATACTAAACCGCAAAGTCCAGCACAAAGTTTATCAGGATCAGAGGCTATGCTGTCCAGGCCCCAGTCGCCAATCAATCAACATCACTTAACTTTGTCATCTTTAGTTCAATCGCAGTTAGATTCTATACCCGCCTGTACTATTCCAGCAATGCTACCTCCTCCAAGAGTGTCGAATCAAAATCAATTTGCTAGTCCGCCTGGCGCACCTAATCTAAATCTGACAACAGACATGTCTGGAAATTCAAGTAATGGGTCATCCAGTTCTGGCTCTTCGGGAAAACGAGCTAATCGCACAAGATTTACGGACTATCAAATCAAAGTATTGCAAGAATTTTTTGAAAACAACGCTTATCCAAAAGATGATGATTTGGAATACTTATCAAAATTGCTTGGTTTATCGCCACGGGTAATAGTTGTATGGTTCCAAAATGCGCGACAAAAAGCACGCAAAGTTTACGAAAATCAGCCAGCTCAAGAAACAACACCACCACCATCTGGCGTAGATGATCCAAATCGTTTTCAAAGGACACCTGGATTGAATTATCAGTGCAAAAAATGTCAGCTAGTTTTCCAAAGATACTATGAACTGATACGTCATCAGAAAACACATTGTTTTAAAGAAGAAGATGCCAGGCGATCCGCACAAGCACAGGCCGCTGCAGCCCAAGTGGCAGCGAGTTTGAGTAGCGAGGATTCTAATTCAAGTACCATTGATCAGAATCAACAACAACATAATCCGCTCAACATGCAGCAACAACCACCTATGCAAACACCACCACAGCATTTACAGTCGCCAATAATGAATAACCCACCAGCAAATTTATCTCAACCGCAACAGATGATACCAGAACCTCAAAGTCCGAATCAGCAGCAACCTCAACCACAAACGCAAGCAGTTCCTACTGGAGGAGATGTCAGCCCCCAACCATCAAATTTTCAATGTGATAAATGTCAGTTAGTGTTCAATCGCTTCGAATTATGGCGCGAACATCAGTTAGTGCATTTGATGAACCCAGGTTTATTTCCACCAGCTTATCCGCCAGATAGCCCATTTGGAATACTGCAACAACTTGGCGGCCAGGCAGACCAAAAGCTTTTGAAAATGGATGATTATGATACTGATAATCAAGATGGTCAAAGTCAGAGCCCAAGAGACAAAAGGCTGCGAACGACAATCCTTCCAGAACAACTAGATTATCTGTACCAAAAATATCAACAAGAATCGAATCCTTCTAGAAAAATGCTTGAAACGATAGCAAGAGATGTTGGACTAAAGAAGCGAGTTGTTCAAGTATGGTTTCAAAATACTAGAGCTAGGGAACGCAAAGGACAATTTAGAGCGCACGCACAAGTCATAAACAAAAGATGTCCTTTCTGTCCAGCATTATTCAAAGTTAAATCAGCTCTAGAAACACATTTGACTGCAAAGCACGCCGAACAATGCTCTAGAAATGAAATTAACATCGATGCATTACCTGATGAGGAATTAAGTACAGAGAGTGAAAATTGTGGAGCTAAAAATATGCCACCGCCGAGTTTATACGCACCGTTGCAGGACGTAGAAGCATTGTTGAAAAGATGTTATGGTGAAGATTCAATGCGAAGGTATATGGAATCAACGGATGATAATAATCCGCAGCCTACATTGAGAGAAGGAGAAATCCCTTTAGATTTAAGCAAACCTTTACCAAAAGCAGAAGGTTGTGATTCTTTATCAGATATGTCTGAAATATCTTTGAGTTGTGATTTTTACGACGAGGAAGGCGGACCGATTAGTCCAGCCAGTAGTACGCAATCGAGCAGGGGTGGTCAAAATTTGCCAAATTCGACAAAAAGATTCAGAACACAAATGTCAGCTTTGCAAGTCAGAATGTTAAAATCATTATTTTCTGATTATGCTACACCATCAATGAGCGAGTGCGAATTCATTGGGCGAGAAGTAGGATTGCCGAAGCGGGTTGTACAAGTGTGGTTCCAAAATGCACGTGCAAAGGATAAGAAGGCGCGTCAAAATAGTGCCGATCCGCAAAGCGTTCCTCGAACACCAGAGGAATGTCGCATTTGCGATGTTGAATATTCACCTAAACTATGCTTGCAAGAACATTTGTTTTCGGTTGGTCATATACAACAACTGAAACAATTCTTAGAGCAACAAGAAGGACTGACAATGGGAATGAATAATGGTCAAGAACAGTTTACAATGCCGCCGCCCCCACAAATGGATCCAAATGTGAATAACACATCGCAGCAAGCAGCCGCAAACGCATTATTACTCCAAATGGCAGCTGCCGCGACAAAAGGATTTGGATCTGGAGGCGGCACGGGAGCGCAAAATGCAGAACAAGAACAACTCCTGCAGCAGCTGTACGGTCTAGCAGCGCTGCAACAGCAGCAAAGCCAGAATCCTTCATTTTTGCCGCCGATGCTGGGAGCCAATGGTGAGTGGTGCAGTTATTAATGAGGTCAAATGTTGTCTTTATTATTTTTATTTATTGATGTGAATCTCATCAATTTTTTGTTTTAAACATATGTGATAAACATATCTGATAAACGGATATTTCAGAATCTCATTATTTAACTAAAACAATGAAATGAATTGATTTTTTATTGATTATTAAACTCAAAATAAGAAACGATTAGAAGTAATTTTAGAAATGCTCTTCATATATGTTTATTACATTCAAATGCTTTTCATTTAAAATTTGAATCTCAGTCAATATGTGATTTTATTTAAACTTTGAGATCTAAACAAATAATACTTTGTATATATAGAGTTATGAAATGCTGATATATTATAGTAATGTACAGACTAAATTTTTGACAGTTTTCAAAATTTCAAATATTACAAGCGAAAACACTTATTTGTTTCAAGTAATTAATTTTGAAAATTGTGAAAAGATGCATTTTTAGATAGTATGTGTATAAAAATTATTTTTTGATTACATCTAATATCGCAATTATTTGTGCTGCTTCCTATTAATTCTAGAATTTTTGTTTAAAATTTTATTATTATTATTATTTAGCTATAGAGCACGAGCATTGTTATTTATTTTTATTAGTATTAGAATTTAGTTTAATACTTATTATTACTACAATTTTGTTTGTAGAGATCGATGTTGTTTTTTTGTAAATATTGATTTAGTATTAACGTCGATTGAAAAATAATCAAATGATGGGATAATTGTTTGATTATATTTTTCAAAAAAATCAGTTTTAATATTGAACATCAGATGAATTTAATTCAAATAATTTCTACATTAAAATTTACTTTAGAGCTAAATACATAATAGGGCATTGATTTATACCAAAATATATGAAATAATGCAATGTCTCTTAAAGTCTTCTTCAAAAGACTTAATTTAAAAGTTTATTACAAAAATAAAAATAGACTTATTAAATATATTTATATAATAAATAGATATATATATGCATATAGTTATATAGTTGAAAATTTGCTGTGACAATGGAGTAATTTTAAATAATTAGTTATTTAAATAAATAATTAATTTTGTATTAATAATACTTCAGAAAGTGGTATTACATCTCACATTAAAATTATAAAATAAAATAATAATTATTAAGGCTTATAATATTAAGCAAGCGATGAAGTATATATTTTTTTGAAAGTAAAATGATATGAATGAAATTTGTTGATTAAATACATATTATTTATATAAATGAAATATAAAATTGAGTTTTTATATTTATTGTTTTATTATTTATTATGTTATGTGCTATTTATTTTTCAGGCTTTATTATTTTGCTTGATTTTTTTTTGCTTATGCTTTTTTATTTTGCTATTTATATTATTTAATGTTATATTTTCAATTTCATTTCAAGTAAAAATAATAATATTATATAAAAACCTATATAAAAAAATGCGAAGTAGATTAGTTTAATTCAGTTATTATTTCAAGAAACCGATATGAAATCAACCTAAGTCAATGTAATTGCTACCATTAAAAAAAAAACTAAATAATTATAGATTCTTGTTTTAGAATTTAATTAAAAAATTGCTTGAGCTGTTAAGTTGGCTGTAGATATGGAGAAAAATTGATATAATTTAACAAATATTCTAAAAAAAAATTACTATGAAATTATAATAATTAATGTTATAAGGAGGTTAGAATTCTTGAAAATGTCAGTAAGGAAAAGGTTGTCAATAAACTAGCTAAATGATTTAAATATTATTAAATTTAAATCAGACGTGTTTTCAAATTTTTTACATTTAATATTCCCCAAATCGTGATAGGATAAAGGACAAAGCCAATATAAATTCACCATTTAATTGTTAATATAATTAAGTATAAATCCACAAATTAATTGTTTTTATATAATAGCATACATGCAATTTTATCTAAAGATACACTTCTAATTAAATACAAAAATCTTTAGCGTGAGTAAAAAATAATCTAAGGTCTCTACATTTATTATTTAGAATGTTCTGAATAAAAACAATAAGGGAGTCACAAAGTTTAGTGGTTTGACGAGTATACTCGTCATGCGTATAAATCTTAGACCACATGCAATTTAGACTGCAATTTTTGTAAATTAACAAATAAAACACATTCTCAAATTTAAAGTATTTTGAGGCTATGCCAGTGTAAAATAAATAGAGAAAATTCGGACAAAATGGTATATTTGAACAAAAAATGATACAGCTCTTACAGTTTTGCGACTGTATCACGTGTATCAAGCCATAATTACAATCTTGTTGAGCGTCATTGTCATACTCTTGACGCAAAAATCAGTTCAAACGTGTATTGCATTTTTAAAAGATTATTTTGACGACTGTTTGTGGATAATTTTATTGTTATTCGTAATTATTTATTATGAACTAATGTCAGTGCTAGCGATTTCGATCAATTTTATTGCAATTATCAGATTTTTGTTGAACTTCTGATTATTTATTCATTTTTGTTCACTTTCTTACTATAGAATTATAAAATAGCAAAAAAATATGAAATTTTTGAAAATTAAGTCAACTGAAATCTTTGGACAACATTAAAATTCTTAGAGATCAATAATATCTCAAATTACGAGCTTTATACAAGAACCTATTTCAATGAAAATTGTATTGAAATATTTGAAAGCAAAACAATAGTCTAACATTGATAATAAGGCATCAGTTTTTACTTGTTTTATAACTAATATATCAGGTAATTCATTTCGTAATATTTACTATTGAAATAAAAAAAAACTGCGGATTGTTTACTGGTCTACCTCTGATTATTGTCAATTTACGACTCATCTTACAAAATGACATGCTTATACAATGAAAAATATGACATAGTACTACTTTGCAAGAACTATAGGGTAGTTCAATCAAGTTCAAGAAAAACGAAAATTGAAATCTGCCAAAGGTGATTGGCTTTTAACTTCTTAAGAGTTAGTTCCCTTTAGGTTCATGCGTCATGTGCTAATGTCCTAATTTTTTTTTTATTCAACAATATATTTACAACTGTCTTACATAGACATTAAGTAAATCTTTTGGCAATTATATGTAAAAACGACATCGATATATAAATAGTGAAAAATACACAAATGCATTTTTCCTTTATAAGAAGTAATATAATGTGACACGAGTAATTGCAAGCTAATTAAATCATGTCCCAAAATGACCAAATGTGCCAAAAATGACCAAATTTTTTATTTGTGAAGTGCCTTCTTAAAAATTAGCATCTTAGCACGTCCTTATCTTATATGTCATTTTGTCTGTATACATGGACATTTGTCTGTACTACATGGACAAAATAGTTTTTGCAATAGGTCGCATTTTTCCTTACAATAGTAAATATGTTATTATAGCTTCTACTTAATAAAAAGATATGTTACTAGTAGTGAATAAACCTAAGATGAGTAAAACGATTCGAAGAGTAAAGTAGTCTCAAAAAGTCTGTTTCGATTTTCTGCACTCTTTGCTATGTATCTCTGAAACGGCTGGATCAACTTTTGCCAAGGACTAATCAGCACGTCTCCTTATCAATAGGAATCGATTGCTTTTTCAATCTTTCAATCGGTTGTTCCGTATGCCTGAAATCGTCGACGAAAAACTGTATCCATACACACACAAACACACAGACACATCCATTCTTTCTAAGGTGAGCCAAATGTTCAAAAACCTCCTGAAATGTTAGGATGTGCAAAAATGTTCACTTTCGAATTCTAGACGATTACAATAACTTACCCTACGGGAAGTTAATAAATATCATTAGAGCCATGCCATTTTGTCCGTACTTCTCCTAAAAGTCATTTTATCCCAAACAAAATATTGCCAAGATGAGCTCTGACAAAACAAGTCTGTGCGCGCAGTTCATTGAATGCGCCACAGTTACCTGGTTAATTCATATTTTTCTAATCCCAATCACGTCTTTAAGACCTTAAATAACCCATTGAAAATAGTAGCCGAGTGTTAATGAACGCTTAGCTGAAACGTTTGAACCTGACTTGACCCACGTCAGTACAATGTCTGTTAATTGTCGAAGCTGACGCAAGTCCGTCCGTCCGTCCTAAGGAGTCTGTTGAGCGCTGAGCGCGCGTCGTAGGTGAGCGACTGAGCGCTGTCCGAGTGATAACCTTTTGACCTTTTCTTTGGCACACGCCAAAGACCGAACAAGTACGGAGCGCACGCGCGCCCGTGCGCTCACAATTGCTCTCCGAGATAATAATCAGAGCGCCGAAGACCTAAATGCACAACTTTAATAAATTATAATATACAAACTCTTACAAATATGATATTTTTTGGGTAAAACCGATATTTCTTATATATCGCAAACAAAAATACGCGTTGATAATTAATAAAATAAAAATAATAAAAGTTTCAAAACTAAACTTTTTTAATTCATCACATAATACATTTATCAACATTGTCAAAAGGAATAATACTTATTAAAATTTGTTAGCATTACTAGTGTGTCTGAGTCTACATATAAGTGCATGCGCGGACGTATGTATCACGAGTGTATGTATAGGTGCCCGTATGTGTGTTTGTATGTGTTAGTAAAAATAACATAGTTTAACATTATTATGTTTCATTACTATATAATTAACTGTATATAGCTGATTGGCGTATAATAAATAAATAAATAATAATAAATAATAATAATCATGATCTGCTTAAATGAGTTTTCAAGTGAAAATAGCCCTTTGCGGTCATTGATTAAGAAACAAATTTGCTACAGATTTAGAAAGAAACAATATTACGTATGAAATTAACGATTTAAAGAATTTTACATAAACTATGAAAGAACAACAATTCTGTCACTAAAAAAAGCACACCTCATAAAATCTTATAAGGAAAGTGAATGTTTGTCAATTTAAATGAAATATTTAAACATTAATATCTCATAACAACTTTTTGTATAAAACAAACATACAAGATACACATTTTTCTGTTTTGAAATTTTCTCATTGGACAACCAGTATTGTATGATCAAATTCATCAAATTATCTATCAAA